CAAATATATTGCTGTTAAACATGTTACTTTTGATGTTCTCTGTTGGATTGTTTGTCAAACTGCTTATATTTTGTTGAAATCTATTACCCAATAAAATTATGTGTACATTTTGAAAAAAAAATGTAAGGGAAAAAAAGGGCTCCCAATTTTTCAGCAGCTGAAAATTTATATCAAGCAAAGATAATAAATAAATTTGTTCACATTCAAAAGGACTCATCTCATGAGTTCCTAGACGGTTTAAGAGTTTCGTTTAAAAAAGAGGTGATGCAAGACGGTGGTACATTTAACTAATATAACCACAATGTTGCATCTCATTTGCTGGCAACAGATTGAAAAACAGCATTTATTTATTTCCTAAAAAAAAAAAACAATGAAATGATTTTGTTCCAGTATTATTTTCTTCAAATTTGTTATTTATAGTGTGAATTTTTTGAAATAGTTTTTATATATTTTTTGCGTAATTTATATAGAATGATTTTATTGTTGGAAACAAGATTTCAAAAATGTTTCAGTTTTCATTACCACCCTCCCCCTGTTTCCTCTTATTTGAGTTAACAAGATCTGCAGATGGCTGAGATTATCTATTGTGAATAACATCATGCTATTTCCTTTAAACTGAAAACAAATTATTTCTTGAAAAACCTACAAATATAAGAACATTTTCTTTAGAATTACAGCACTCACAATCCACTTCACACTGCACTTATGTTTGCCTTAAATTTAAAGTGTTTCTGTTGCTGCTTGCTCGATTGAAGAAAGGTACTCATCAATGTCAATTGACCCATAAACCTCTGCTCAAACTTTAGCAATGTTTGATTTCCTCAGACACATAGATTTGTTTTTTTTTTTTCATTTGAGAATAATTAATAAGAGATCAAATGAAATGTATCAAAGCAGGTCATAGTGTTTATTCTGAAATTGAGGGCTTTAAACCTAATTTCTGTTGCCTTTTTATGGGGAGGACAATTTTGGAGGACGATTTTGGGTTAGTAAATGGCCGATGACAGCCTTTAGAAATCAAAGCAACCATTGACCAATTAGTAAATCTAAACCAAAAAGTTTTTTTATTTTTTTAATATACCATAATTGTTTAAATAAATTAAAAAACAGCTATTTCCTGTAATTTAAATATGCAGTCCCACGCAGATCAGTTCACATTCTTAGTTTATTCAATGCTCTTGATGAATGTAAGATTATAAGAATAGAAGAAGAAAATGAAGATTTTATAATTTAAAAAAAGTTTAGTAGGTCCTCTGGGCGACAGAGACTTCTTCAGGCAGGGCTGTTCAACTGGTGATTTCTATCCAACCCACCCAAAAATGAGTTTTGGGTATTTTTTAGAATTATTTTATACTTATTTTAAATTAAAAATGAATTTCATATCATTTGTAAATTTAAAATGTGTACTTCAATGCAACAAAATAACCAAACTTAAAAGGTAAAACATAATACTTGTGTTGCATGCTGCAGTGTTTAGTTGAATAGCCCTGGTCTCAGGAGTTACAGGTAAACTTGGCTTTTTAAGCAGTACTTTCACATGGTGAACAAACAGGTTTAACAAGGACAATCAAAACTGTTTGTTCATATGCAAAGGAGCACCATCAGCCTAAAGACTGATTGTTAATGCTTTGATTACCACCTTTTGTTCACAGAAGGCTGAGTCATACTTGCAATAACAGCATGGTAAGGGGGACAATTGAACACGGAGACCTCCCCCTTGTTTAATGACAGGCAGTATATAGGGTGCATAAGTAGGACTTTTACAGCAGTACCTGTAAACTGGATATTTGGGCTTTGATTTCAGACAGTGTCGTCCATCTTTATTTATGTCAATGATGGGACCACCGGGCTGCTTACAGATTGGCCCTATTTTTCAATGTGGTACGCTTAGTTGTGTGCTAGGCCAGTAACTTAAAAAAATGGCAAAAATCTAACTAAATACCTAAATATCCACCTAATCGATCAATCAGTTCACTTCACTGTCTGAAGACTCTCGATTTATTTTTTTGGTGTAAAGAATGAATGCTTTTGCATTAGCAGCTGTAAGAATTATTAGAAGTTGCACCAGTAATGCAAAAAGGTTTTAAAAGTATGTGTAATTTAAAACCACAAACTGAGACATGAATGTAAAAATAGAAATATTATTCTTCATAAGAAGAGCAGAGTTTGAGCGGTTCAGAACCTATTGCAGTTAAATTTTGTAGAACTTTGCTGGGAGCTGTGGGCCATTTCCTTCCTCCTGTTTTCTCACAGAGAACTGGAATCTGCCTCTTACACATATTCTGTGTTGTATTCTTCCTCTATGATAATGGCTTTAGGTCCCAATTATCTGTGTGATTCAAGCATGTTAAAGCCTCAAGTTAAATGATTGAGTCATTTTCTTTTTACAGTGTTGTTGAGGGCACTTCCATATGCTGTTACACATTCTCCATTTCTAAATCAAGAGGGAATATTGACCCAGAATATTTCAGATTTGTTTTTTCTCAGCTCATTGGAAAAGCTTTGTTTTATTTTGATAGAAAAAATACAAATTTACCATTCTTAAATTTGAAATGCATAAAAACCTGACTTTTGGATGTTACATAGCACTTAATTCAGGCTACTTGAAACAGATTAACACTCACTTAATATTATATGGTCCATATGAAAGTCAAATTCATACTCACAAAGCTGCAAGGGTGTTTAAAATAAATGTGCTCTAAGTCCATGCCATCCCACTGGGCTTACTTCAAGGAAAATTGGCTGACAGACTTATGACATTTGTCTGGTGGAGAGGAATATTTCCCCTTTGCCGTGTTCTTTTGGAATAAATTTGTTTAAAACCCTCACTGCCATTGACTTCCATACTGCAGTCATCAGTGATGTAGGGCAGTGGGAATTTATTTTCTTAGTGAGTCGGTCTACTTCCTCTGTAGTAATTAAACAAAATTATTCATTTTTCTGATTTTTTTATGTCATTCATTCAAAAAGTTTATGTGTTTTTTAAAAGTAAAGTTACAACTCAATGGAAAGAAAAAACATATACATGTAGTCACTGTATGAACTGCTAAATACAGCTTATTCTCTTGAATAATCTTTATGGTCAGAAAGGTCAGCTTGTTCATTTTCCCTGTATTAGAAGCCACATGCATCACTTTGGTATCAGATTGTTGTCACGGCAGACAGAAAACAGCAGGATTTAGCATAATGTTGCTGTGCTAGTTTTGGCTGTTCTTATAGCAGTGCTGAGCTGTATACTGAAACCTCATATCAACCTTTGCACTCCTCTGGGATATGCATTCAGTAAACATATGGACCCTGGTATGTTTCTATTCAAAGGTTAGCTGACGATACAAACAAATGCATATCTTGATAAAGGTCATTCAGTCTGTAATAACCTCATTCGTTCTTATCGCCTTAGTTTTTATATGGAGTTTGTTTATTTTTAGATTTACACAACGTGTCTATAAAGAAGCATTTCTCTTTCAAGGAAAGTAAAATAATCAGCTTTAATTTCCCCAGACAGATGTAGCTAAAGGGTCTCGTATGAGAAACCAGACATTTTAAGGTGCCATGAAATTATTAATGTCTGCTTCTGGCAAGACTGATTTTTAGGCAGAAGAAACTTGTTTTTTTTTTTTTTTCCAAGACTCATTTTTATTATTAGTTTTTTTTTTTTTTGGTTTCTTGGCCTATTTTCCTTCCTTTTTTACCTTTCATGACACAAATAACACTCAGTAAATTGCACCAAATAGAGTGGATACCAGTCTGTTCACTACAAAAAAAAAATCAGCTGATAAGAAAGTTTTTTTGTCTGAACTAGCATACAATAGTGAAATAGTCTGTTAGCTAAACCCATTATATCCCAAAGATGGATAAACACTAATATTATATCCCAGAACATTGTCCCACTGAACTGGAATATAATATTAGTAAAATTTGTATGTGTGTTGGGCAGTGCGACGGCTCAGTGGCTAGCAATGACTCCTCACAGCAAGAAGGTCCTTGGTTTAATYCCCATTTTGGACCTGGGGTCTTTCTGTGCGGGGTTTGCATCTTGTCCTTGTGCTTGTGAGGGTTTTCTCTGGGTACTCTAGTTTCCCCCACAACACACAAATTTAAAGTACAGTAGGTTGCCTTCAGTCCCAGGCCTCACTTGAAAAAGAGATCTGTGATCTCAGTGGGATTTGCCAGGTTAAACAATGGTAAATAAATAAATACAGTGGAATATGGTACACCAATGTGTGTTCCATTATTCCACTGTAATGGATACACATTTTACAGTTCATTCAGTAAAACTTACATTTTACAATATTACTAGATTACATTACTTTTACAGATTTCTACATAGATTTCAGAATAACCTATTACAATGAATTATACTTTAAATATTCCATAGCTATTTTATATCTGTTTATTGTTGTTGTTGCAGGTCTTGAATTTGCCTATTCTGCAGCCCCCAAGTCCATGCAGAGTGCCATCATGGGGCTCTTCTTTTTCTTCTCGGGGATCGGCTCATTCGTGGGCTCCGGATTGTTGGCTTTTGTCTCCCTCCCTGTAATTGGCTGGATGTCGTCCTCCATAGACTTTGGTAAGTGGCATGCCCAAAAAACATCTATTCCAGTTAAAACTGTGCTGTTTGGATGTTTTTCATATATCAATAAATGTTTTAATGTGCTGAATGTTGAACAAACCTATTAAAAATTCTCACTCTGCTGTTCCTGTCTGAACAGCAGTCTGACAGTCCTGCTTCTCTCTGATGCAACAAAGAAGCTAAACATAGAAGTGTGTGTCGACGAGGTTCATTTAAATCTGTTACTTGTTTCCACTCTTTATTTGGAGTGATTTATATAT